TTCAAATCTAAGCGTATCGCGTTCAAGGTTACGCTCCGCATGCAAATTCGCGATTACTTCGCGCAACTCTCGTCCATCTCTCTAGCGAAACTGCCGCAAATTTATCGGCTTCGAGACGAAAGAGAGGCGCGAAACGAATGTACGAGCGTCGATTTGTCGACGGTTGAGAATTATTTCGAATGCGAGCGTGGATCGAATCCGCGGTAGGTCGGACGATTATCTCGCGAGAACGATCAACGAAGAGCGTTCTGTTTCCGCAACGACAAACGGGGTGTCCCCGAACGTAATTTTCTCGTCGCGTAATGTGTTACGCCTCGACATTAATTTGCATCCTCGGTAATCCTTAATTTACAACCCCAACGAGTTTCACGGGGATAGGTAGTCAGCCAGTTAGGTAGGTAGATAGGTAGGTAGGTAGGTAGGTAGGTAGGTAGGTAGATAGGTAACGAACAGCACCATCGGTAGTTTGGCACAGGAATTGGCACGGTGGTGCACCCACATTGCCAAGTGTAAAAGTGGTAAGTAGACGTAGATACACGGAGGAGTTCGCAAGAGAAAGAGAGAGAAAACGAGAGAGATAGAGGATGAGGGGATAACAACGGTGCAAGAAGGCCGAGGAGGGTAGGTGGCGATCGAGGGGTTGGCGAGGGTGAGATTCGGCAGACATCGTGCAAGGGACAGGGTTGGGGACAGGAGTAAGGGCTGTGGCTGGGGCCGGATAGTCGGGAGAGAAAGAAAGAGAGAGAACGATTATCCTCACGGGTGGGTTGATGATGGTGGTAGTGGTGGTGGTGGTGGGCGCTGGTGGGGCTGGTAGGGCTGGTAGGGGCTGGAGAACTCCGGGACAGTGTGTGGAGGGGACCTCGCACGGAGAGGGATGAAGAAGAGGAAGAGAGGAGCGAGCGGAGGGACGGAGGTCGAGAGTCGAGGGCTGCCTCACTCTGCGGCTCCCGCCGCTCGGGAGCAGACACGCGGGGCCAAAAGACTAATTTGAACTATTTTATTAACAAAAACAAAAACATTACATATTTGTAAATAACACTACTAACAATTGTAAACACGAAACAGCAACAACAGGAACAACACATTTCTCCTAAGGACTCTCTTTAAATCTTACCTTACACCCGTAAGACAACCGCCTGTAAAAAGAAAGAAAAGAAGGAAGGAAAGAAGGAAGACAGGAAGTGAAAAAAAAACGCGCGCGATCGGACAGAGAAAGAGATAGAGTGAAAGAGAGAGCGGGAAAGGATAGGAGCGAGAAGAAAAGAGCGAGACGTACGACGAGGTAATCCTGTTTTTTTTTTTTTCAAAGCAGACGTGTAATAGAAACGCACACTCAAGCAATACACAGTAAAGAAGAACAAGTTACAAAAGAATCGAATGATGGAAAAATTATCTATTTTCTAAAGTTATTCCTCAGTCGGACCAGTGCGCGGCGCGACGGAAGTGAAGAGGACGAGCCGAAAGTCGCTAGAGAGAGAGAGAGAGGAGGAGAGAGGCAGAGAGAGAGAGAGAGAGAAGAAGAGGAGGAGGAGAGAAGAAGAGAGAGGAGAG